GGGGAGGGGAGGGAGGGAGGAAGAAATTCCTGATGGCAAAAATTATTGAAAAGTGTATGTAGCAACATTAAAAATAAACTTGGGCCCTGGCCGGTGAGGCTCCGTTGGTTGAGCATCATGCAGCTCACAAAACCCAGTCTGGGTGTGTTCAAGAGACAACTGATTGATTTTTCTCTCTCACATAGATGTTTCTATCCTCTCTCTCTCTCTCTCTCTCTCCATTGCTCTTCCTCTCTCTCTAAAATCAATTAAAGTATTTTTTAAATCAATTTAGGGGAAAAAAACTACCTATCATCCAATCTTCCTGTCGCAGCAGTTCTTTTAATTTTTTGCCTTTTAGCTTTTAGTGTATATTTATAACCAGGAATGTTTTCTACAGTGCCAATATGAGAGAATAAAATCTCTTTTTTCATTCAAATAATATAAATAACTTTTATGCCACTGAAAACTTTTTTATCAAGACATTCAAATATTTGAAACAAATACAGTTGACCCAATGCAGAAGTTAAGGGCACCAACCCCCAGGCAGTCAAAAATCTGTGTATAACTTAAGTCGACCTTCCACATATGTGGATTCTCAACCACAGATCAAAAATACTTATTTGTATATGTTTTATAATTCAGTATTTTTAAAAAATCAGTTTCAGTGAGCAGCAATATACATAAAATAAAATATGATATACTTGAAAGAACAGTTGACTTGGTTATACTCATGTTATCTGGATTCTACAAAATTAGCTCTGCAACTAAATAGGTATGAAATGTCACTTAATCTCTTTTGTTTTTCTGGGCTTCAAGTTCTTGTCTGAAGATAATAGGGATTAACTAGATCAGTGCTATACAAAATGTGGTCTGTGGACTGCTGCCTGGTCCAAGAACAATCTACAATAAAAGGAGCTTACAACTAAATGTAAATTGAATATTTTACTAAGCATTTTATAACTATTCTTTTTCCATAGGAAAGTTGTTGACTTACATACTGGTGCATCTCCTTTCTCACTGTAAGCAGGAAACAGCTAACAAATAGGCACTTTGAGTAGCACAAGGCTAAATAATACTTTAGATTCCTTCTAGATTAAGTGTGATCAAATGGCTCTATATGGTCAAATCTTCTGTACTCCCAATATATATAAGGTTTTTCTCAAGGAAGCTGCCCTAAACTCTCCCCAATTTTTTAAATATTCTAGTTCTAAAGTCTATTCCCCAAAAGTCTCTACCAAAATTTCTGTTGTGCCAACTCTCAGAAAATCTAAATGCTAATATGTTTCATTCCTGCCATCTTTCCTCCACTGGTAACGTTTAGGAAAAAGGTAAATGGAAAGTGTAATGAAAACTACTTAGGCCACCATTTTTTTTTTAAATATATCTTTATTGATTTCAGAGGGAGGAAGGGAGAGAGAGGGTTGAAACATCAATGATGAGAGAGTCATCATTGATCAGCTGCCTCCTACATGCCCCTGACTAGGGATGGAGCCTGCAACCCCGGCATGTGCCCTGACTGGGAATTGAACCTCGATGTCCTGGATCCTAGGTCAATGGCTCAACCCCTGAGCCATACCCGGCCGGGCCGGGCCACCATTTAAGATACTTAAAAGACAAGTACTTCATATTCATCTTTCTTCTGACATGAGAGGATAACATACCACATTACACGTGAGCTTAAGTACTTATTAAATAGAGGGATGTCAAGGTGTGTACATCTCAGGTACTACCTTATTAAGCTTCTGATTTGAAAAACCATCCTGATCATAATTTTGCTGATAGTAGAAGTTTTTCATATCAATTTTCCAGTCATTAAATGTAGAAATGCCTAGAAACCCCAAAATTAGACAGTTTAGGGGTGCCTTCTAACTTGCTCTGATTGATGGGTCCAATTCATTACTATACTATAATATCTACATTAAAAAAAACCCACAAAATTCCATGAAAGCCATTTTCACTAATTCTTAAAATAAGGTTCATAATTAGAGTTTAGAGCTCATCATAATTCAACTTTATCCTTCACAAATAAACTAACCTTTGGGGAATTTATATTACTTTTTACATCATACACTAAACCATCAAACTGAAAACAAGACCCAATCTTAAGGCAGTTGGATCACTCAATAAATTCATATTTATAAATAATTTGGATTTCAGATTCATGATAAACCCTACTAAGCTAGGCTCAGCCAGGATAGTGCTAAGGACCTATAAATGACCTCTCCAGAATGACACTCAGACTTCTACATAGAGGCTCAGGCCTCCAATTCCAAGTATTTCAACAAGCCCAGGCATATACTTCAAAGCATATGATTTTGCCTGAGAAGTGCTAGACTATCACTTTCACTGAATGCTGGTAGTGTTAAGGAAACCACCAGGATAGCCAAGATTGAAGGAGAGAAGAGTAAGACTAAAACTCTCAATGGCATGAGCAGTAAGTCACTTTGTACAGGAAGTATAGTATTACCATAACAAATTACCATAGCAAAATTTGTTGCAATGATTTGAGATCAGGCAATGGGGTCAGAAGTTGAAATAACTTCAAGACTTAGAAAAAGAGCCTTGAGGAAACAGTTGGTGATGGCTTAAAGGACTGTAATGAAAATGTTATTGACAGTTGGAGAAAGGATAATTTGTATTATATAATGGCAGAAATTTTAACAAAACTAATGCTTGGAATTATGAAGAAAATACCTGATAAAGTAGTAGATACTAGTTATGGAAATTTCTAGGCTGAATATCAAAAGTGCCAACTAGATTCTTTTAGCTGGGTGTACAAAGGAATGGATAGAAAGATATGAGCTAAAACTTCTCAGTGTTCAAGCAAAATTTATAGGAAATAAAAAGGAATCAAGATTTTCTGCATTTGAAAGTAAAACTGTTTTTCATCCTATCTCTCCATACAGCAAAAAGCTCTCAATGTAAGAAATGGCCTGAGGGCAAAGACCAAATCCAGGGTTAGCTATAAGACCCTAAGACCTCAGAAAAATAGAACTTCATAGAATCTCTCACTTAAAGAAAAGGGTCTCTAAGAATTTTAAGGCCATATGTCATAGCCCTGCCGCTTGGCTAAGACAACAGTGCTCCTAAGAATTTAAGAGTACTGAAACACAGCATCACCAAAGGTGACCCAAATTAGACAAGGGTTTTTCCAAGAAGCACATGTGAGTATGGCCTTGTCCAGTATATTTGATCATAAATTCAATAAGAAATCTACAAACTTTTTGTAAGAAATTGTACCAACTTGGAATGAAAGGAACAAACAACAGTGCAAAATGAAAAGTGGCTTATAGACCCCCGATCTTCTATGTGCAGGAAGAAGGCTGAAAAAGCTCTAGCTTCACCCCACCGGTGTGGCTCAGTGATCGAGCATCGAGCCATGAACCAAGAGGTCATTGGTTTGTTTCCCAGTCAGGGTACATGCCCCGCTTGTGGGCTTGATCCCCGCTAGGGGGCATACAGGAGGCAGCTGATCAATGTTTCGCAATGTTTCTATCTCTATCCCCTCACCCTTCCCTTTCTCTAAAATCAATAAAAACATATATTTTTTTAAAAAGCTCCAGCTGCAACAGCCTATTTCTTATAGAAAGAAAAGATGATTCAAAGGATGAAACCAAGAGCCCAAAAGGTAGAACAAAAGACAATGGAAAATCATTTCAAGAGCCCAACTGGGACCTAATCTAGGAAATGGCAACATGCTTGGTTGGATTTCAGAATGGCTATAGGCCTGTGACTGCTCTGGGCCTCCAATTTTCCCTCTTTTTTGAATAGGAGTGTCTATTATGATTATCCTATCTCTCTCCCACCATTGTGTGTTGAATGAGTGGGGCTCACAACTTGCATCTTTAGTTCACAGCTCTTCTGATGAAGAGGAGTCCAACGTAAGAAGCTGATCTGAAGTACCATACCCAAGAATCCTCACTTGTACTTATACCTGACTCAAATAACAAGATCCTGGACTTCAAGATTATACCATAATTCCCTGAGACTCTGGAGGCCCTGAGAATGCATTTGGGAAAAATATAAGTATTTTGTGGCCAGAGGGTAGTCTGTAGTAGGTTAAAGATGGTCACAAATCTTTGCTAACCCTGTCACTGAGAGATGAAGTTTCGTATCTTTCTGCTCAGCATGTGCTGCCTTGAGTGATTTGGTTGACTAATAGAATGTGACAGAAGTGATGTCTTGGGATCCCCAAAAGTAGGTCACAGAAGGCCTTGCAGCATCCTGCCAGGTCTGTGGTACCCTGAGCTACCATGTTAAAAGACCAGCTATCCAGGCACAACAGTGCTGGAGCTATGTACCTACCCTGAATGAGCACCATCTGAGCTCTGCCACCCAGCTATCCCACAAAATAATAGAAAAGTCTTTTTATTTTAAGCAACTAAGTTTGTTATTCAGCAACAGATAACTGTGTGTTCACAATTATGTAAGTTATTTTGGTGCTATATTCTTAGCTCTGTATACTAGAATACACACTGAGAATATTAAAATATGTCATTGGACATCCCCAAAATAGAATTTTAACAAAACTATCATGTTATATTACTGGCAGTGACCACATAGTTGATGTAATATATATCCACCAAACGAAAACTAGGAAATTCACTGAATAAAGGAAAATAATAGAAAATTACAAATAAGATGTGTGACATGTTGAATTGAAATCTTACCAAAATTATGGGTTATTTTTATCTATCTGTATTTAGTGTATAGTTAATGTCTTAAGTAAGTATTATAGACTTAAAATGACAATGCCAACCATAGAACAACAACAAAAAGACTGTACTTTCTGGTACATCCATCTTGTTAGGAATATTAAGTTACATAAAGCTAAACAGTAGTAATACATGGACTAATTGCTAACCTGGCATTTCCTCTGTCTTGGAGTCCTCTTGGAATCGAGCAGCACTTTGACCAAATGGGGTCTCTTTTGATGTTGGTTTTTTCTTCAAGGGCTTGAAAGCAGTTCGAGATTCATTATATGTGCCAGGAGCTGGGATGGTTGATTTCATAGGTGCAAATCTCTAGTGAAGAATGGGAAAATACGCCACTGAGAAACTACAGTACATTTGATATTTCATGAGTTAAAAGCTTCCTTCTCAGTAATATAAAATCTGGAGCTTAATTTATTATTAGTGGAGTAAAGAAAATGTAGATGAATTAAGATATGGTACCTATCAAATCACAAAATATATAGCTTTTAGTAAAGTCATCTATATATTAATACAGTTATGCATTATGTACTTTACTATGCCAGATAGACTTTTTGAAGGAAATCATCTCAATATGAGATTCTAGATGATAAGGTATGGCCCAGATTCATCTATTAACATACCATGCCATTTGCTACTTTTTGTTTACCCACCCTCCCACTGTTTCTATCTCTTTCTGTCTATCCATTCCTCCCTCTCAGTCTCTGTCTCTCTGTTTCCCTGTCTCTCTCTCTCTCTATATATATATATAAACATGCATATATATGTATATATATATATATATATATATAAACCATTTAATGAAAAATTATATATATGCCCTCTCCATCCTAGTCAAGACCGATATAGCCAAATACTGTGGTCACCTGGATTATTCTTTCTCTTTTTCCCCTTCAATGTGGTTAAAAATATACATTTGAAATACAATGTTTCATTTTTTTCCATTTAATTTCAGTTTTAGGTTGATTTAGGAAAAAAAACCCTCCCATTATTGATTTACTTTTATTTTTCAATATACGGAACATGCACATGCTTCCAAAAGACAAATATATATATTTAAAAGTATACTCAAAGAAGTGGTGCTCTCTCTCATTTTCCTTCTACCCCATGGATGCTATGCCCTGGGGGAGGGGCATATTTATTACTTTTGCTAATTTCCATGATGACTAATTTCATGCTACCAACATAACATCAAACAGCATGCAAAACTGGAAAAATGAACAACTGGATACTGCAAGCCAGTAGAAATTATTGCAATATGCCAGTGACTCCACTCCATCTCCTCACTATCCCTTGTAGGTAACCAGCTTCATTGTTTTCTGGTTTATTCTTGATGTGTTTATATAAAGATAAACAGTATGTGTACATTTCTTATATTCCCGCCTTTCTTACACAGAAGGTAGTATATTATACATGCCCCTTTAAATATTATACAGTAGGTAAATCTTAACACTACCAAAAAACAATTATTTAATGGAAATAATAAAAGTGACTCTCTGAACTTTTATACTAAGTACTATCTTATTATTTAGATTTTAAAAATGATAGTTCTCAACCCTGGCTGCATATAGAATTACTTGAGGAGTTCAAAGGAATACTAATGCCTGGGCCCTATTCTGGACTAACTGAATCAATCTCTAGGAGAGAGGGAAGAAGGCACTGGGTATTAGAAGGTATTAAAATTCTCCAGGTGTTTCTAATACACAGCTAGGGAAAGAGCATTGTTATAAAGGAAATCTTATGTGTGAAGATTAATAGATGAAGATTTAAGGAAATTCAACGCATTTAGATAAAATACCAGACAACTCCTTAAATAAATAACTAAGGATCCCAGAAACATAATCTGTCTTCATACCTACAAACCAAAAATTGTGTCTTAAGCCCACCTTGTTAATCGCATTATCGCTTTCTCTATTATATCTGTTCATATTCAGCTAAACATTAATACTACCTCAGCAGGCAGTCTGTTGCTTTTAAGTCCTCATATCTCTCATCCCAAAACCATTATTCTTTTCTTCATCATCCCCTATAAACAAAATTGGTATCACATTCTACTTTTCTGAAAATATATTGAAAATATTATAATTGGTGCCAAGCGATGTCAACTTAGAACTATATATTGGATGAACAGAAATAGCATAAAAACTGACAGTTTAGCTATAAAATTACATTTTAAAGGGTACACACATGCATAACATCCTATTCCCACACATTCATTTTGTGTAGTTACCTTAAGTACTATCAAGTTGCTCAAGGCAGAAACCTGGTATTCATTCCTGATTCTTCCTAAGTCCCTCACCACAACATCTAATCCATTAAAAAGTCATGTTAATTATACCTTCAAAATATACCTGTAATATATCTACTTGTCTCCAAGGAGGTACCTCTGAAGTACAATGAAACCAAAGCAGTCCCCTGCAGTCATCTGAAGGTTAATAATGTTCCCAAGTTAAATAAGATAATCAGAGCTGTACACAGTACAGTTGGTTAAATGTTGCAACTACATTGATCTAGAGGCTGCCGCATTATAAAAGTTTGCTAGTATTGTAATGTTCTTGCCTTAGAAATACTTTAGATACCATCAAGTCTCTTTAGTATATATCTTGCAGAGTGGGAGATGATTACTGTGAAATAGACTCCAGCACCATTAACAAAGGCCCCAGTGGCAGTTGTTGATATGACCTATGACCTGGCTCCACAAAAAGCCTTCAGAACCTTCTGTGAAAGAAATGCATGTCCTCATAGATTACACGTTAACACTGTACACCTTCATTGGCAAAGTATATTTAAAAACTCAGACTAAAATCTCTTATAAGCTAAAATGAACTTTCACATATGCAAATCTGCATATCAGAAAATGTTTAGATGGTTTCAATTCAAAAATTCATCTTTGTATATTGCTAATGTTATAATCTTATTTCATTTCATTTTAGCCACATCTTTTGATAATATGATTTGCCTAGGCCATGTGTGTTTCCAATTTGCTTAAATATCACTTTCCTTTTTATAATCTCCCTGAACATCATTGGATTTGTTGCTGGCTTCACATTATACCTATTATACTCTACTTATGAAAATGACTATAGACCATTACCTGGGATTGAGAGAGAAAAGCATGTGATGCATCACTTACGTTTGGTGTCACACTTTCAGTCTTCTGAAATTGACTTTTAATGTCATATTTTCCAGGCCCTGGTACTCCCTAAATCATTGCAAAAAGAAAAAAATACATGTTCTCATTAAGAAAGCATTTATAGCACCCAAGGGAACAGTTGGCTAAATATGTGAACCAAAGCTACAGGGTTTTTAAACGAACTCCTATATGATATTACCAAAGCACTTCATTAAGAGGCAAGCCAGAACAAACTTCCTAGGAGAAAAAAAGAAAGACAGAAAGAAAAAGAAAGAAATTTTCCTTATCAAAGCTTCCCAGGAACCTGAAAACACACTACTTGAAACTTTGCTGCCCTCTACTGATACAGCTCAGAAAAAAAAAAAACTAGCTCTTCACATGATTAAACATTACAATGAATAAAAGTAGGTTCTACATTTCTTCCATCAGGTGCAGTGTGGAGGGGATCAATGGGGGGAAATACTTTCAACAATAAAGATAAATTTAAAATAAATAAATGTATACAACCAGCTCTAAAAAATATTTCACTCTCCTTCAAATTTCTGTTAATCAATAGACTGCTTTGTTTCAAGAAATAACTTCAGAATATATTTTATTTTAACTACAAATGTTAGAAGATGTAAGATATTAAGCTTTTTGCTAGATATTTTACAACACGTAAAAATTAATCAGTAAACACTGGGATTGAGTTTTATATCTTAGTAATGCAATTTAAATATATCAAGAAGTTCTATTTATTCATCAAAAATTTTAGTTATCTTAAAATAGTACCTTTCAGCCCCGCCATCGTGGCTCAGAAGTTGAGCATCAACCTAGGATCCAGAAGATCAGGTTTGATTCTCAGTCAGGGTACATGCCTGGGTTTCGGGCTCAGTCCACAGTGGGGGGCATGCAGGAGGCTGCCCATCAAGGACTCTCTCATCATTGATGTTTCTCTCTCTCCCTTTCCCTCTCTCTCTCTTGGAAATCAATAAAAATATATTTTTAAAAAAATAGTACCTTTCATATTATAAAAAAGTTAGATTCAAATCTTCTGCTTTATATATACCTTCCTTACTTTTCTATGTTTAAAAGAATTATTCCTTTATTTGTGAATTAAGTACTTAGGTTATAACTTGGATATATAATGAAATTCAATCAGTAAATCCTGTCACCTCTACCATTATAATATGTCCAAATTCAACACCTTCTTCCCACATCCACAAGTACCACTCTGATATAAGCCACATCTCTTACCTTATTGTGAAAACTTCCTAACTGCCCACTGTGCTTCCACCCTTGTCCACTTTCAGAGTATTTTCAAAATAGAAGCTAGTGATGAATCCAGTTAACATCCTGAGTCAAATTGCACCACTCCCCTTCTCAAAGCTATCCAATGGTTTCCAATCTCACTCTGAGCAAAATCCAAGGTCCTTAGTATGATATGAATTTCACCCCCAGACATATTATTATCACTCTAGCCTCATCTCCTACTACTCTCCCTACTCCATTCACTCTGTTCTCAAAAATATCCAGCATATATCTACCTCAGGATCTTTGCATTTGCCATTGTCTTTGCTGGAATGTTCTCCTAGATAGGTCCAGGGCTCATTCCTTCATTTCAATCAGGTCACTACTCAATGTCACCTTCTCAATGTGTCATTTCCATCCAATCTAAAATTTCATTGCCTCCCCTAAACAATTCCTGTCCTGTTTCCTACCTCTTTTTTAACCTAACCATTTTTTACTATTCAAAATAAAAATTTCTGCCATGTTGTGAGCTCTAAGGCAGGTTTGTTTTGTTTTTTCTGTTTTGTTCACTGCTGTATCTTTAGGGTATAGAAGAGTATCTGAATCATAGTAAATGCTAAGTAAATATTTGTCAGAAGAACAGATTAACAGACAAATGCATGCATTGAATCCTCTATTTTCGCTGATCATATAATGAATTTAGAGATATGTTCCTCTGGGAAATAATGTGGATCCAAATAAGAACATTAGCCCTTTCTAAATATAGTAAAATGTCTAAAGCCGACATTTTAAAACCAATAATAATTTGGGAAAAAAAAAGTTCTTTAAGAGAAATTCTTATACAAAAGTACCTTTTTTATATAAATAGGTTAAATTCTAAAAATTTATGCAAAGGTCCATGTTATCTTGTCTCAAATGAACAAATCCCTGCCATTATTTTGTGGCTGAT